TAACTCGCTCTCTCACGTGTCATATTTCGGTCTGGTAACCCGCTGTCTCGTCCTGACCACATCGTAAACTAATCAGACCGGACAGGGAGGAGGTATGCCCATTCCCAGATCAAACCCTTCCCACCTTCCTGGTTTTAAGCGCCTAGCTCCGAGGTGGTCAACCCAATGCTGCATACTTTATGCCGCCGGACAAATAATATTCGCGTGCGGCATAAAAAGCCTTGTTGTTTTGCGTTTGAGTGGCATGTACCGTTAGTTACAGTGCCCCCCAAAAATATATACAAATGTATGTGTGTATGTAACATGCTCAGCGATTACACGACCTCCCCCGAAAGCAAGCAGCAAAAAGCGATCCGATGTGAGTAACATTGCCCCGTTTTGTGGCCAGCAGCGGAAAACTCGAAAAAGAAAGCAAATCAAGTGCACAGAGGAACGCGATTTTTTTTTTTCAGTTTTTCTTATTTGACAAATAACTTTGCCTACCGATGGGTGGGAAATGGAAAAGCAAAACATCATCAATGCAGTCAAACATGGTCGGGGGGGAAGGGGATTTGTTGAAGGCGCGGCAGCCAGAGGCTGGGCTTAGGGGCAGCATCCACGAAACCTCCCTTGTTCGTTGCACAATGCGATTTACGATGCTCTTATGTGTGGCATCACTGCTGGGTTAAAATTCTATTGATGATTAGAAAAGATTTCCCGCTTTTCTGGAATCAAAAAGCACAGCAAGCAAATCCGCACTTACTTTTATTTATAGGATAAAGTAGAAGATGCATTTTGGTTTTGTCTCAGATTGAACTGAATATTCTATTAGTCGGATATGGTTAAGATACGCATTGATTAAATGCAGAAATTAAAATGATTATATTCTGATTATGAAGCTTTGCTATTAACTAAAACAATATTGAGTGAGGGGGATATCAATTTTGAGAACAAGTAATAATGTTTGTATTTACTATATAGAGAATTTCTGTCTTGACTAGCACAAAATCTATCCCTTTCTGCAACTACACTTTTTACAGGCAACTGTTGTTTGTTTGTTTATTTCCCGCTGGAAGTGCAAAGCATTAAAATATGTATAATCCCACCAACGGCAGTGGCACTCATACCACTTTCCACTTTCCACTTTCCACCTGCAGCTGCAGTCGCTTTTTAGCAGCATGAGCAGCATAACAGTTTCACCTCGCTTTAGCTCCGCCCTGCACCTCCCTCCCCTTGCTTTTGTGCGTGTGGCAGAATAAAAAAAATAAATAACAAAAATAAAATAAAATAGAATTTCCAACGGAAACGCAAAATTTTATAATGGCGCCCACGGAGCGTATGAGAGCTATGAGTTGCCATGCCGACATTCAGATGCAGATGATTCGAGAACAATAGACTAGGGGGATATTTCTGACATTATAATACTAATGTATGAGGGTCAGATCATGGGAGCATTAATGGTATAAAGTAGTGAGTGCTCTGAATGGAGGATCATTCAGTTGTCAAAGATCATTCATCACCGGAAGTCTGCGCATCAAAATAGAGGGACTAATAGCTGTCAACTGACTTTTAATTATCCTTTGACGCTTTTAAAATCCAGGCACAGCTTAGCCTGCCATAATCCCCAGTTTTGGACTATCAGACTAAGCCGGTTATTACCTGATACATCACACGCCCTTTGTCACCTCTTTGGGCCTCGAACAAATAAATAACTTTGCCGCTCTACACAAACATCAGAGTCACATGCCACCTATGTAAACGCATACATATCACTTATGTATATCGCTTTCAATATTTCATATATACGAGCCGCGGCACCCTCTCCGCCCGACTAAACCGTGACTGGTAACTAATTTGAAAGTGGCCCATCGTACCCGTACTCTAACCAGCTGCTGATTTTTTCTATATTCCCGACATATATTTTTTATTGGTGCAGCGACCCTCCTCCCATCACGTAAACTGCAGTTTCCATGTTGTGCGTCGCTCTTTTTTGTGATTGCCTTGACCAGCGTAGATATTATTTTATTGTACAAGTTTTTTGTTTTTTTTCGGGCTTATATATATATATATATATATTTGTATATACATAGAGGGATATACTATGGCTGTACATGAATTTAATGCATTCGAGGGTTGCAGTTGAATTTTTAACCCAAATGCAGTGTCCCTAGGCGGGAAGGCTGGAATAGGTTCATTCTATTGGAAGTCACGTGTATTAGAGTATTACTTATATTCAAAGAAGAATCTTTCTTCAGTTCCTTAACTGTCAAGACATATTCCTAATCAAAAAGAGATGCAATTTCTCCTCAGGTGCCTTTCAATTTCTTTTGCCAATCGAGTCGAAAAGGGTCCCCCACTTGGCAGTATCTTTTGCTATTGAAGGACCAGCCACAAGAAGAAAACATACAAATTTTCCATTAATTAAAACGAAACAGAAAAGCAAGGGAAGTAACTGGACTTTGACCATGACTTGGGGACCGGGAAGTTGCAACATTTTTCGGAGTCCAAGGCTGAGACGGTAAAGGAACAAGTCCGTCGGGAGTCCTCATGTACTCATGGCTTTGGCTAAGGGGCTCATCCCAGGCAACCTTGACTTAGCCGACAGCCGAATGCCAAAGATGAGGGGCCATCCCTGCCTGGCAAGTAATTTGTTTTGGGGCCTGACAGCAGCCCACCAGGCGTATGAGTAACACCTGCCAGCCAGAGAAGCAAACCCATACGCACACGCACTGTGGAAATTCGGAGGAGGGCTATAAATCCAAGCATTTATTTCCATTTCTCGTCTCGTCTGCGAGCTGGGGAAAGTTGCTTTTGAAGTCTCACACAAATTTGTAACCCTTTTTTGGGCTGGAGGAAAGCAGGAAGCTCCTCGGAATATCAGAAATATGCGGGTTTTTGGCATCTTACGAGCAAAGTCCTTTGCCGTAAGCCAGTGGCAGGAGGCGGTGTGTGCTCGCAGTTCGATGCAGGAGGCAGCTCCCAAAACTAACAGCCCGGCGAGGTGACAGGGTGGAGGATAAACATGTGCTCCAGCCTGCCAGCCTAAAAGCAGACTTTGACTTCGCCCCTGTCGGTGTCGGTGTCGGTGGCTGTGTGCGTGTGCGAGTGTGTCTGTGCTGTGTGTGGAGCACACCACTACCACTACAATGCCGGCAACCTCTAAGCACACGCATAATGAATTACCGCCCAGCCAGGAAGCTGCCTGGCCCTGCGATCCTTCCCCCTACCGCCGCCAACTGCCGATGACATATTTCTCCAGACGAAGGCAGGAGCTGCGCCTAGAAGGCAGCTAAGAAAATTTGCGTTTAGCTCATAAGTGCGTGAAAGGGTTGCCAGGTCCTGGGCCCTAGTCCCAGTCCCAGAACATCCCTGCCAAGGGTTGCCTCTGTGCACTGTCAAGGAAATTGTAGTTTAAATGAAATGGAAGTTGCTTTTATCAACGACGAAGGCGGCGGGCTGGGGCTTGGGATTCGGAGTGCGACTAGTGTGGGGCTTTCTTAGAAGTTCCTCTCCTCAAGTGTGTGTGTGTCGTATATAAATTAAAATGCCTAAACATATGCATTAGTTTTGTCTCAGTCCCACACCCCCTTTTAGCTCCCCCAGAGCTCCTGTGTGTGTGTGTGTGCCGGGGCTTGGGGTAGCTCCAAAGTTTTTGTGGTTACGACATCGGTTTTCGGGGGAGGTGCGAGTGGATGCTTGAGACGGGCTCGTCCAGGACGACCGAGGGGGAGCGGGGCGGTCTGTCAGTCTCGAGTCGGTCTCGAGCTGTGGCCTGACAACTTAGTCTAATGAGAATTCAAATTCGAAACCCAACTACGCAATCGTGCTGAAGAAATTAAAAGAAATTGCACATGATGTGTTTGAGTGGGAGGCGCTTGTGGGTATCGAACGGAATGATATACATGTATATGTATGTGTACGGGGAATGTGGGCAGAGTGTTGGAGGCTGTAAGCAATAAAGCAAATATTTGTTTCACTTTCTGGCAATAGACTCGAAAATATTTGTACAAACTCCACAGAGGAGACGAAAAGGGAAATGAAGTTTACTCGGGGCCTATGTAAAAAATGTCCCATCGTAATTAACTTATGAATAAAGCAGGTACAGCCTGCTTTACAGACCAGGATACAGATGTAGCAGCAGTTACAGCTCCATGTTGCTCCTCGAAGCACGTCAGAAATCATTCCCTGGAGTTATCCAAACCATGTGTCCCAGAGATCCAGCAAATTAATGTTAATTAAGACTTCAAGTCCTTCCACGTTTAAAGGGAAAAATGGGGAACCCTCAATCTCGATAGCCATCCACACGGAACACAGCTTTATTTGTGCTGCCAGCACCAGTTCCAGCCCCCCACTTTTAGAACCCACTCCATCCCACCTCGGGAGTGTCCTTCAACCACAAAACCAAAGGAGAGCTGAGGAAAAAAGCTTGTGTGCCGGACGCCCAACGTCTTGGGTGAAATGTTTCATTAGAGCCATGTTGGCCGCAAATGGCAGGAGGGGAACCGAGCCACCAAGTGACCCGACCACCGCCAAGTAGACTAATTTCCAGTGCACAAAAGGCGGACTGTGAAAAAAGGCAACCCCAAGAATGGACAGCAGAGAAAAAGGACTGCTCCTTTTTCTGGAGGGTGGACTGGACCTGGTCTGGCCTGAAGATGAAAGTCGGGAAAACTTTCCCCTTGAATCTCTGGACGGGGAAGCTTGGGAAGCTTTCTTTGACGTTGCCTCTTTTTGCATTCTTTTGAATGGTCTAACGAACTTCCACCAACTGATTCTACTACTTCTAATCATTGGGATTTGGCATATCGAACAGAGTCCTGAAACTTTTTGCGGTCTCCAGCTAGCTCTCTTTTGGACACTCTAAAAAATGGAAAAGGGGAAAGACCATACACGCACATAGTAAGAATGCATAATGTCACGGTATACCTAAGACTTCTTCTGTTAAAATAAAAACTATTCATAAATTATACAATTTATTCCGATGACACCCTGGTTGACTAATCCTGCCATTTGCTTCACAGGAAACTATTCCGGCAACACCGGTCGTGAGCACCGACACCTCCACCGGCCTGGTCGGTGTAGGCGCGGTCGGCGGCGCAGGAGGAGGAGGTGGTTCTGGCACAGGAGGCAGCGGTGGCGGCGTTTCCGGCGCAGGGGGTCTTCTGGGCGAAGTGGTCAGCGGTCTGGGCGGCGGCGGAGCCAGCGAGTCGGAGGCCTACGCCGGCCTGATGAAGGACGCCGACAAGCTGAAGCTGATGCTGCTGGCCTGGAACTACCAGAACTCGACGGCGGTGCGGAATGGGACCGAGGGTCCGGACCTGAGCGTGGTGGGCGGCCTGTGGGCGCAGTACCAGAACGCTCTGGCCCAGAACGCAGCGGCAGCAGCGGCAGCCAGCGTCAAAATGGACAGCTCGCTGTCGCCGGTGCCGCGGCAGGACACCCACTCGCCGATGGAGACGCAGGACGAGACGAACTCGTCAGGCCAGAAGGAGGAGGACGAGGTATCCGAGGACGACTCCGACGACAAGCTGGACGAGAAGTTGGCCACCACGCACGATCCCGAGCGGCTCAAGGCCTTCAATGTGAGTAAAGCGTGAGCTGTGAGTGAGCGGCGAATGTAAAGCCAAGCGTTGCCAAAGATTCGCCAGAGATCCTGGTCACGGTTGGGAGTCGGGTCACTAACCCTCTACTCCATTCCTTTCAGATGTTCGTGCGGCTGTTCGTCGACGAGAACCTGGACCGCATCATTCCCATCTCGAAGCAGCCCAAGGAGAAGATCCAGGCCATCATCGACTCGTGCGCCCGGCAGTTCCCCGAGTTCAGTGACCGATCCCGCAAACGCATCCGCACCTATCTCAAGTCGTGCAGGCGCAATAAGAAGACCCGCGATGGATGGGAGAATACGGTGAGTGAAGGGTCTAAGTTCAAGGAAATCCTTGCCATATCTATGCAAATTTAATTCCATTAACTCACTTTCACAACTGTTTTGTTTCTCTGCAGACCCGACCCACGCCCGCCCACCTGACGTCCGTGCAGGCAGAGCAAATCCTGGCCATTGCCTGCGAGAACGAGTCGATGAATGCCAAGCGGATGCGCATTGGCCTGGAGCCCATCACCCATGCAGTTCCGGCGCCGGGTAGCGCCGTGGCAGCAGCTGCAGCGGCAGCGGCAGCCGCCGCCGTTGTGGCAGCCACCAGCTCCGGGGCCGGCGGCACCAGCACCACCTCCGCCGGCAATGCCACGGTCACTTGTGGCGGAGTGGGTGGAGCGGCGGATGCCGCCGGCCTGACCAGCGTGGCGGCCGCAGCCCTGCCGTTCGTCAGTGCCGTCGGCTTTGCCCGATCCACACCCAACTCGGAGCATGCGGACGGACTGCCCTTCGGGGCGGTGGGCACTGTGGGCGGCATCGGCAGCGGGGGCGGCGGCAGCACCAGCGGTGGTGTTGCCGGTGGTGGCGGCGGTGGCATGAGTTCGGCACGCAGTTCACCACTGGCCCTCAGCTCGAATGCCAGCGTGAGCGGCGGCGCCAGTGTCACCGGCCTGACCCTGGCCAACGGGGCCGGGGCCTCGAACGGAGCCGGATTGCCGGCCAGCAGTCCCTACACCACGGACTTTAGCTCACCGTCGACGGCCTCGCCCTTTGTGGCGGCAGCAGCGGCAGCGGCGGCGGCAGTTTCTGCAGGCCGGGCTCCCAGCTATCCCGGCTACTTTCCGGGTGTGGCAGGCCTGGGAAATGGTAAGTGGCTCAAAGTCTCTTATATAATCCGTGAGTAATCGTTATGGTATCCTTTCAGTTACGCCCACCGATCTCTCGATGAAGCCGACTAGCCTGGCCAGCGGTCTCGGCGGCAACCTGGTCAGCAACAACAGCAACAACTCCGCGGCAGGCAACATCAACTCGCAGCTGAGCGCCGCCAACTTGGCCAGCCTGAGCAGCGTGAACAATAACAACGCCCTGGTGACAGCCACCCAGCAGCTGCAGCAGCTCCAGCAGCAGCAACAGCAGCAGCAGCAGCAACAGCAGCAACAGCAGCAGCAACAGCAGCAGCAGCAGCAGTTGCTCGTGGGCACCGGGGCGGTGGACTGGATGCCCAGGCCAACCGGGTGCCGCCCATCCTGCCGCACAAGCTGAGCGCCAACGAGGTGACCGCGGCCCGGCAGGTGATATCTGCGTACCGCGAGAGCGCCGCCTTCTTGCTGCGCACCGCCGACCAGGTGGAGCAGCTGCTCGTCCAGCAGCAGTAGGCAATGGCGGCGGACGTGGCCCCTAGGTTCGAGACCCAAGCGGTGCCAGGCGCGCGCGGGTTGTTCCTATTTTAAATGAAATTTAAAATGAATTACACACTCCGACACACAAGCCAAACTAAGCGAAAATAGTCAAACCGTAGAGCCAAACGAAGGAAGAGCCATCCGGCGGATAGTCAAACGAAGCTCGTTCAAACGAAACATTTTAAGTGTTTTTTCCTCCACTACGTACAGCATACTTAAAATAGAATTTAACGATAAACAAAAACCAAAAGAAATATTGCAAATATCACAACAGTAAAGATATTAGAGCTGCCGTTGACTTGCTGACTTGTTTCTGAACTGAATTTCTCCGACCGGCTTTAACTTAACCCTGTTTTGTAACTCCCAGAATCGGGTAACAAGAAAATACTTGACTAATTAAAATTGCAACACGAGAGAGTACTGAAATCAGATTACTTTAGCGTCAATAAGGCCATAGCATTATCCTCAAACTACATATTTCTTCGTAAATTATCGATATTAGATACAAATCAGATGGCAAAGCAGCTCTAATAGTAATAAAACCAAGCAACAGTTCAACGTACTACAGTGTCTACTAAAAGTAAACCTACAATAGCCATACACAAACACTCGCATCGATTTTGTTTGGACCTTTCATTTTTACGCATTTTTTAGGTTCTCGCTCCTCGGAGAGCCGACGATTCCGGGCCCGTTTTCAAAGTGCGCGATTTGTTGAAAAAGGTTAAAACTAATAACTAATAAATAAGTTGAAGTATTGTTGTAAATTTTAAGCAAATTGATACAAAAACTTTTAAGAAAAACAAAAACAAAAGAAAAAAAAACGTAAAACTATGAGAAAACACAGGGTGATACTTTGAAAAATTATTACAATGCATAAGCTAAAAATTAATAAGTGGGAAAAAAGAAAACGAAAAAAACAAAACAAAAAAAATGGATCTGAAGTATGGCATAGATGTTGGTAAATGTGTATTTAACGTTTAGAAATTACATTTGTATACTGTTTCCAGGATCATTGTTTCCATTTAATATCCATTGTGTTTTGTCCGACCTCCTTTATTTTAGGTGTATATACTTTAAGGGACTTATTCAGAGACATTTTAAGTTTGACTGTTGCTTTTTACTCACATTCGATTATTGAATAGATACCGAATAAATATTTAAATACAAAATAGCCACTCATGTTTTTTGCAAATATAAATGTGCATAAGATAAGAAAAACAAAACACTGACACGAACACGTAGCAACACTTACAACATCGGTTATGTATGAGTGTGAATTGGAACCGAGCAGAGCGATGCAAGGCAAATTATAGAATTTAATTATATAAATAAATTGCTAAAATTATTTAACCAACAAATAATTATTGACTAAACCCAAATAAATACTCGAAAGGAGCTCGATAATTGCTTGGAGGGCAGAAGAAATATTTATACGGAATACTTAAACATAAAATAATGTGTGGCATTTGCATAGAAGAGTAAACTAATTAAACCAAACGAAGGCGACACAAAAGAAACAAGACATTTTAAAAATCGAATTAATAAAGAATTTATGAGAATTATATGTACATTAACTTGACAAGACTATTTATTTATCTTTCGCAATGGGTTTAAGCATCTTCATATGGGATAACTCTTATCGACTTTAAAAACAAAAGCTCTCAAAAACATTCGGACGGGTTAAATCGAATCGGCTGGTGATGGTGGTTCAAAAAAGTAAAACATACCACCTTATGGGCTTCGAAATTAAGATATTTTTCGTTGATGATAAGTTAGAATCCTCTTGTCCTCTTGGGACTTAAAGAATTCTGTTAATTAAAAATGGGAATATATAATATATGACATTTATCAAGAAGTCCGTTAATTTCAGTTCATGTATTACTTTTTACCTTAAAAAATCTCTGTTTAGGGAATATAACATTGCCAAATTTATAATTGAGTTTTAAAGCATTCAATTATTAAACAATTTATAAAACTATTTAGCTTGTAGAAATTATACATACATTTTTACACCGGTGTATTCATTAGCGCCCCCTAGCGGAATAATTGCGCTTAGGTACACTTACATAATCCACCACTGGTGGCGCAACTTACTCAAATTAATTGTAGAAATTATTCTTTAATATATTATGATTTTTGATAAAAACCTATTTAATTATCAGTAGTAATGCCTTAAAATAAAATAAATATTCCACTGCCAATCCTAACATGTGTAGGTCTTTGATACTTTGTGGTCTGTTTAGACTACTTAAGATTTATTTTAATATCCGTCAGCACAAAGTTCAACTAATTAAAGAAATTTGACTCTTTCGCTACCACAAAACTCCTTTTAGAAAGCCTTTTAAGCGTGGCTTGTGCGTCCCAGGCCTAAAATTAAATCATTATCTAGGTACCAATAGATGTGTGTCGGCAGGAAAGATTTATAAAACTCCAGAAATAGTTTGCTTAGGATTCCTTACTTCGCCTTAAGTTTGCCGATTAAACAGTCGAGTTTCGGCTACTGGTGCATCGTTCGATGAGTTCTGGCGTAATTTTCTATACAATCTTAAAACTTGAACTTTTTTTGTTCGAATTTCGATTGTGCGTAAGCGCATTAAACCTTTTTTTAAAAGTTTATTTTGAAGGGTATTCTAAGTCAAACTGCTTTATTATTTAATTTAATATTGCAAGACAGGAAATCCTTCCGTGCTGCTGTAAGAAAACCATCAAAATAAAAATTAAAGCTACAAATTTTGAAAGGTAATAAGTTTAAATCGATTTTTTCTTTTTTACATTACTTTAAAAAACGGTTTGAAAGGAGATGACTTTAAAATAAAATGTCCTTTGAATATTCTGACACATCTTAAGAGAAATACATAAATACATATGATTGATTAATTTTTAAAGAGAGGGTTTTTGCTAATTCGCGCTCGGCTTGATTTCAATCCACATTACTTCAGACTAAGCCTAGAGTCACCAAAACACACATGTGCTTAGAAAGTATTATTTCCCAAAGAGGTTTCCAAAAGGTATATGTGGTAAATGAGGTCTCGCAGGGTGGGAATTGTGATGTATCGGTCTTGCTGGAAGCAAAGGAGGTGCAGGTAAAGGTAGCAGACCTATCACAGCGGATTCAGCTTCTGGCAACGGTCCTGGAAACGGAAATTGAGGTAACGGCGGTGGAAACGGAATAATAGGTGCTCCAATAATCTCATGGTAGTGATGATGATGATGATGCCCATGATTCGGCTGGGTATTGGTTCCCTGAGTTGTAGTAGAAGCGTCAGTAGTCGAAGTTACTTCTTCGGTAGTCGTAAGAGCCATTGTAGTTGTTGTTACTTCATCGGTCGTTGTAGGAGCAAGAGTGGTGGTCGTTACTTCTTCGGTCGTTGTTGGAGTTACAGTGGTTGTAGTTACTTCTTCAGTTGTAGTTGGTGAGGCAGTGGTTGTCGTAACTTCTTCAGTTGTAGTAGGAGCGACAGTAGTTGTCGTTACTACTTCGGTCGTCGTAGGAGCATCAGTGGATGTCGTTACTTCTTCGGTCGTTGTTGGAGTAACAGAGGTTGTAGTTACTTCTTCAGTTGTAGTTGGTGAGGCAGTGGTTGTCGTAACTTCTTCAGTTGTAGTAGGAGCGACAGTAGTTGTCGTTACTACTTCGGTCGTCGTAGGAGCATCAGTGGATGTCGTTACTTCTTCGGTCGTTGTTGGAGTTACAGTGGTTGTAGTTACTTCTTCAGTTGTAGTTGGTGAGGCAGTGGTTGTCGTAACTTCTTCAGTTGTAGTAGGAGCGACAGTAGTTGTCGTTACTTCTTCGGTAGTCGTAGGAGCAACTGTGGTTGTCGTTACTTCTTCGGTTGTAGTTGGAGCACCAGTAGTTGTCGTTACTTCTTCGGTTGTAGTTGGGGCAATTGTAGTTGTCGTTACTTCTTCGGTTGTAGTTGGAGCAACAGTAGTTGTAGTTAGTTCTTCGGTTGTAGTTGGGGCAATTGTAGGTGTGGTTACTTCTTCGGTTGTAGTTGGAGCACCAGTAGTTGTCGTTACTTCTTCAGTTGTAGTTGGAGCAACAGTAGTTGTTGTTACTTCTTCGGTTGTAGTTGGAGCAACAGTAGTTGTCGTTACTTCTTCGGTCGTCGTAGGAGCTACAGTGGTAGTCGTTACTTCTTCGGTTGTTGTTGGAGCAACAGTAGTTGTTGTAACTTCTTCGGTTGTAGTTGGAGCAACAGTAGTTGTTGTTACTTCTTCTGTTGTAGTTGGAGCAACAGTAGTTGTCGTTACTTCTTCGGTTGTAGTTGGAGCAACAGTAGTTGTAGTTAGTTCTTCGGTCGTCGTTGGAGCTACAGTGGTTGTCGTTACTTCTTCGGTTGTAGTTTGAGCTACAGTAGTTGTCGTAACATCTTCGGTTGTAGTTGGAGCAACAGTAGTTGTCGTCACTTCTTCGGTTGTAGTTGATGCGACAGTAGTCGTCGTCGCTTGAGTGGTGGTTGTTGAACAAAACGGCAATTGCGGAAATAGTCTGCACAACATATCTTCAATGGATTCAGTCGTACCTATAGACGTTGTCGTTACTTCTGCGGTCGTCGTTGGAGCGACAGTAGTTGTCGTTATTTCTTCGGTCGTCGTTGGAGCAACAGTGGTTGTCGTTACTTCTTCTGTTGTAGTTGGAGCAACAGTAGTTGTTGTTACTTCTTCGGTTGTAGTTGATGCGACTGTAGTCGTTGTTGAACAAAACGGCAATTGCGGAAATAGTCTGCACAACATATCTTCAATGGATTCAGTCGTAGCTATTGACGTTGTCGTTACTTCTGCGGTCGTCGTTGGAGCGACAGTAGTTGTCGTTATTTCTTCGGTCGTCGTTGGAGCAACAGTGGTTGTCGTTACTTCTTCCGTTGTAGTTGGAGCGACAGTAGTTGTTGTCACTTCTTCAGTTGTAGTTGATGCGACAGTAGTCGTTGTTGAACAAAACGGCAATTGCGGAAATAGTCTGCACAACATATCTTCAATGGATTCAGTTGTAGCTATAGACGTTGTCGTTACTTCTTCGGTCGTCGTTGGAGCGACAGTAGTTGTCGTCACTTCTTCGGTAGTAGTTGGGGCGACAGTAGTTGTCGTTACTTCTTCGGTTGTAGTTGGAGCGACTGTAGTTGTTGTCACTTCTTCAGTTGTAGTTGATGCGACAGTAGTCGTCGTCGCTTGAGTGGTGGTTGTTGAACAAAACGGCAATTGCGGAAATAGTCGGCACAACATATCTTCAATGGATTCAGTCGTACCTATAGACGTTGTCGTTACTTCTTCGGTAGTCGTAGGAGCAACTGTGGTTGTCGTTACTTCTTCGGTTGTAGTTGGAGCAACGGTAGTTGTAGTTACTTCTTCGGTAGTCGTAGGAGCAACTGTGGTTGTCGTTACTTCTTCGGTTGTAGTTGGAGCACCAGTAGTTGTCGTTACTTCTTCAGTTGTAGTTGTGGCAATTGTAGTTGTCGTTACTTCTTCGGTTGTAGTTGGAGCAACAGTAGTTGTAGTTAGTTCTTCGGTTGTAGTTGGGGCAATTGTAGTTGTCGTTACTTCTTCGGTTGTAGTTGGAGCTACAGTGGTTGTCGTTACTTCTTCGGTTGTAGTTGGAGCACCAGTAGTTGTCGTTACTTCTTCGGTTGTAGTTGGAGCAACAGTAGTTGTTGTTACTTCTTCGGTTGTAGTTGGAGCAACAGTAGTTTTCGTTACTTCTTCGGTCGTCGTAGGAGCTACAGTGGTAGTCGTTACTTCTTCGGTT